TTTGGAAACTTAGGTTATGAATTTCTGAAAATGATATTTATTCACCCCATGCTTGGAGCTGGAGGCCTTGCAGATGTTCCTTAATATAAGGAGAAATTAAGTATTAACTAAGAGTTACAATTTGCAAAATCTTCAGGCTTTTTGACCTCAATAAATTAAAAAAAATTAAAAATACATGAAATAAATTAAAAAAAAAATTAATTACTGAAATAGGTAGTTTTGGACAAGTCAGCACACACGTGGCACTGAAACGCCTGGGGGTGGGCGTTTTTTAGAAAAAGCCTCCCCCCAGGCGCATTCTATTGCTGATGTGGTACGGGCAGATTTGAACTGAAAACGCCTCCCCCCCAGACGTTTTGTTGACGTGTCAGATTTGAACTGAAAACACCTTCCCCCAGGCGCCTTCTAGTTTTGGGTTACGAAATGGATCACTCGATCCTATGGGCATAGGGAGTATTCATATATTAGGGTCCATTGTACACCATCTGGTCATGGGAGATGATATGGTTAGCGTTTCAGTGTTGCATGTGATGGAGGACCATCCTTGGAGCTTCATGTGGGACCCATCACTAGGTCCATGACTAGGAGATTGGAAGAGGATAGGGGAGCTAACACCCCTAGAGACATGCTTCTTATGGCTATAAAATATTGATCATTCTCCTAAGCCTTGTTAGTAGAGAATTTATTTTTATGCCTATTTTGCCATTGTCTTTAATTTCCCATTTTTACCCTTATATTTTGGGTACCTTAGACATAGGATTTATTTTACCTGTATTTCCTATTTTACCCTTGTATTTTTGGGTACCTTAGACATAAGATTTATTTTACTTGTATTTCCTATTTTACCCTTGTATTTTGGGGTACCTTAGACAAAGGATTTATTTTTTACTTGTATTTCCCATTTTACCCTTGTATTATGGGGTACCTTGGATTATAGGATTTTATTTATAGCTAGGGTATTTTATTAAGGTTGGAAAATAGGCCTAGACGTGTTTTTTGGTAGCCTTGGATTTATTTTTGGACTTGGCAAGGTTGAGGCCCAAGTGGAGGGACCCTAGGTTACATGGTCTTATCATGCACCTAGATATAGCTTAACCAAACCTAAAGATTCCATCATTGGCCACCAAGTAGCATCTAGGGTTAATTTAGGTTTCATTTGAAGTGCATTTAGCTTGCATTACTCAGTCGTGCACTCTGAAATGTAACCCTAAATGCCTCATCCCTTCTATAAATACCCTAGGCTAGCCTCCTTGTAAATACTTTGGAATTTAAGATATTGAAAGAGCTTTTGAGCCTTAATATTCTTTCCTTAGTCCCCTTGGTCATTTTGGCCACCTTGTTCCTCATTTTCACCATGAGTGTTCTCACCTTTAGGAGTGGCCTTCATCCATCAATGAAGTGAGCCAAAACCCTAGAGTACCATCATAGCATTTCATCAAACACCTAGCCTCCATAACCTACATTCGGTCACCACCATCATCTAGACTAGAAACCTTGAAGTTCCATGATCCAAGGAGTCTGGTTCCCCTATTTGATGCTCCTTAATCCATCCATGCTCCTTAGCCTTCCAATTTGACTCTAAGGCCTTTATAAGGAGTTCTACCATCAAAAATAGTGCATATAGCATTGAGAGGATAACTTTGGGTGTTTCGTTTCAAGGGGTGGTGAGTTGAAGACTAGAAGATCTACTTTTCTTGTTTGCATTTCTCTTTTACACAATTTTCTTTTAGGCCACTTGTGTTTTGGCCTTTGTTCTCTTTGGTTTTTGGTTTGTAATTGGCCTCTTTATTAAGTAGTTTTAGGGTGATTCAATTAGTGCTTGTGGGAGTGGTTTGAATACCACCAAGATCACTTCAAGCTCCCACCCTAGGGAATCCAACTAGCACATGCTTTAATTGCATTCTTCACATGCCTATTGCTTTGGTAGTATAATTGCTTAGGTTTTTACTTTGCTTGTTTTCATTTAGAAGGCTTCAAGTTGCCTACTAGGGGGTCGTGCACACTGTAACGACCCGCCGTGGTCCCTACATTTAGTGGAATCGCATTAAGAATTTGTAAACTAAGATAAATAATAAAATTGGATAACTCATAAATACAAAACATGAACAATATATATATATAAGAATAATTAAGTATTAGTATTTATACAGTTATCCAAAACTACTATCTCCTAGTGTCGGTCAAGCACAAAACTGTTACCCAAGGCGGTAACTCTGACACTAGGCACCAAAAATCCACTTCTAGCAGCAGACTCAGTCAACAGCTCCTACCTAGCCCTGATTTGCTCCCATACACCGTATGATCACAGCAGTCCAAACTTGTTGCACCTAAAACACCTGGGTTGTGCAGAAGTGCAGTCTCTGACAATATGTGGCCCACCACACCGATAACATCTAACAGCCTAAGCTCCACTCCTAGCTCTCTCAATAGACTTCCTCATGGTAGAACCCCCTTGTTGTTGGGGTCAGTCATAAGGCTTCCCTTGAGAACCACCACTACTCTTGGACCCAACTGGCCCACCAACAGTCTTCGTCGGCTTGCCAACGTTCTCTAGCCGCTCTACAACGTTCGCCTTCTCTACCAAGGCTGGAAACTCCGTGATGGCCATAGGCACCACCACTCTTCTCATATCATACTTCAAGCCTTCAGCAAACTTCCTACACTTCCAAGCCTCAGAGGTGGCTTGGGTGTAGAAGCGTTCCAAATGCTCAAATCTCATGGCGTACTCAGTCACTCCATGCAATTGTACTATCTCTCTAATATACAATTGTGCAAGCCTCTCTAAGGACCACCCCTTGTTTACAGGAAGAAAGTGCGCACACTTTGTCAACCTATCAACAATCATCCAGATAGAGTCATTGTTCCTAACTGTCCTAGGTAACCCATCCACAAAGTCCATAGTGACACTATCCCACTTCCACTCAGGAATCTCCATCAACTGCAAAACCCCTCCAGGTCTCTGATGCTCAATCTTCGCTTTTTGACAAGTCAGACAAGTGGCCACAAACTCTGCTATCTCCTTCTTCATACCAGGCCACCAGAAACTCTTCTTGATGTCAGAAAAAAAAAGTTACAAATTGATGACTATATTATACTTGAAATAAAGACTTTTAAGTTTAGACCATTGTTGTTTAGTTATACAAAAGTAATAAAAATCTAAACTTATCTAATTTTTGGTTGGGTTCGGTTTTTAGCGGGTTTAAAAATTTAAAACCGAACCCCCCGCCCAATATAACCCGTATAAAATCAAAATTTTAACCCGATTTACCCGTAAAACCCGCTCGAACCCACTCAAAAGTAATATTTTTATTGAGTTTTTTGGGTTTGGTTTGGGTCTCGATTTTATGCTCACCCCTACATTAAGACCAACTCCAATGGTAGTTGCTTGGCCCATCAAGCAACTCCAATCTCAGTTTCTTACCATTGGAGAGGTCTGATGTGGCAGTGAGAGTTTCTTGCAGAGGAGAGAGGGTTGCTTAGTGAAGCAACCGTTCCTTACCTTTGTGAACGGAAGGAGGCACGGTGGTGAGGCGGGGGGTGGGCGGGGGCGGTCCAAAACTACCTATTTCAGTAATTAGTTTTTTTTTTAATTCATTTCATGTATTTTTAATTTTTTTTAATTTAATGAGGTCAAAAAGCCAAATCTTCAAATGTTAGCTGACTACTTGGCCACTGAAATCAAATTGGGATTTATGTAAATATTCAACGGCTTTTGAATCCAAGTATTTTTTAGCTGCTACATGCAAAATTTCAACTTAAAACATATGGAATTAGCTAAAATAAAGAAAATCACTTAAAGAATTCTCATTATTATATTGCGAAAACCAGTTTTTGGGTTGTTAGAGTTATGTTTAAAAAAGTTCAAACTATCATTTTATGGATTTTGGAGTCGGAATAAATTGAAAAAAAGAAAAGGTGTAAAAATTGCTAAGCCCAATATGGTCCAACCCGAATGTATCCACTCGTGTAATTTGACAAACCCAAACCCCATTAATAGTTGGAAATGAGCTTATTTTTTGCTGGTCAATTTGGATCAGTTTGTCTAATTTCAACCCAAACTCAATCATGACCAAGCCTATATTTAATACACAACAAAACTAGTTTTTCGGATTAATTTGCATCAAATCAGTGAGATGCAAATGAAATAAAAGAACAAAAAAGACTAAAGAGAATAAAAGGAGCGATGAAGTGAAGAGACAAAAGAAGAGGGTCTTTTGTGAAGAAGAAAATAGTGAGATTGACAGAGAAGAATGTTAGATTAATTATTTAATTAAACTAATTTGTGGATTAAGATTAATCAATTATTAAAAAATAATTTTAATCATTAATATTAATATATTAGTAATTAATAATAGTCAATTATTATTATTATTATTATAACACCTAATTATTTGATAGATGTTATATTGGACTTTTTGTTTTGAATAACTTGTGATAGGTTGGATTATTCAATTAATATTTAATGAGAAATCTTTACCTTCTTTTAATTAATTATTTAATTATTATCTCATTACACGGTTAATACTTTATTTTGTTGAACTAATCGTGATTGAATATAATCTCTTCTTATTCAACTATTTTCAATAATATATATTTTTTAATATCATGAAGAGTAAGATAAAACAATTCTTTACATAAGATATACAAATTTTATTCTATCATTCTTTCTATATTTATATAATAATATACTATAATTTTGCATCTATATGATTTTTGTATGATTAGGAGTTTATATTTTTTCATCAAAGAAAACATGGTTAAAGGGAAAGGAGAGGTGGAAGAGGGAGGGGTGTGAAAGGAGGAAATTAAAGTTAAAAAAAAAAAAAAAAAGTTGTGTGAAGGAGAAAAAGGGGGAGTGTGAATAGTCGGGGCCATAGCTTCGGTGACACTGGGGCATGGCAGGCCCCAAATTCAAAAACCAACAACCCAAGACATTGTGGGCCGAGCGTGAACTTTTGAGACAAGGTTCGGCCCAGCCCAAACCCGAGGCAAAAACTGGCTCTGAATAATGACATGACATTCATGGAGAGACATTTTCGTTTCGTTGTGAGAGTTTCGTGGTTCCGTTGAACAGAAGAGGCACAATCGCAGGGCGAGAACGAACGAACGAACGAACGAAGAGAAAGGTGAAGAACAAACATGTTGAGGCTCGCAGCTAAGAGGCTTTCCTCTCTCTCCTCCACTCCGTCGAGGGCCAACCACGCCGCCGCCGCGTTTCTCTCCCGGAGCCCCGCCGCACCGCCCTCCGAGGAACGCAGATCCGACCCGTTTTCGCCCCGACCCCAATTCTTCCTTCCCATCAGAGGTTAGCCTTCCCCTTGTGTTCATTTATTCGAAGCCTCTAAACGATTCGTTTCGCTCTTTTTTTTTTTTTTTTTTTTTGATTTTTGGGTTTGTTTTTGCGTGGTGCGGGTTTTTGTTTGGGTGTTTTTTTTTTTTTTTCAAACCCCTAAAAAATTCTTTTTCCCTTTTTTTTTTTTTTTGGATCTTAGGGTTCGTTTCTGCGTGATGCGTGTCTTTGATTGGATGCTTTTTTGTTTTGGATGTTTGTGTTCATGTGTGAGGCTAAAATTTTAATGTGATCGATGTGCTGGTGGCTGATTTACGTAAAAAGGTTTTAGCTTAAGGAAGCGTTTCGTTTGTTGATTGCAATCTTTTTGGAGGTCGAATACTCCCTTTGGATTTTTAAAGGTTTTATTTATTTATTATTATTTAAAGAAGAATAGAATATGGGGTGAGATTCGTTCTTGTGTTCTTCACTTGGAATTGTGAGTTTGGATTCTGAGCTACTATTTGCATCTTTTTTTGGGGTGAAATTCGGTTTGGGGTTATCTGTTTATCTCGCATTACCTGTTATACTTATAGATAACTCTTGGTTTGAAGAAATTTAAGCAACCTGATTGGTAGTTAAATGTTTCATGGCCATATATTCACTGTCTATGCAGTTTTAATCCATTCCGGTGGAAGTGTAGCTCTTTTTGCTTCCTTGATGGAAATTTAGTTGCTGTTTGTCATTATTGTATATCAAAACTAGGAGGGGCATCTGTGATAGTAGACAGCAATATAGACAGTTTTGTGCTCCTTTGAATTATGGTAAAAACAGTGTTGTGTTGTTCAATAAGGGTATATAAAGAAAACCGTTAGGGGTGAAAGTGGAAATTTATTTTTCATAGTGGTGTATGGATGTAAACTAACATGTTGAAAAAGTTGCTAACTAATTATATGTATTCTTCTGTTTGTGGTACTACTAGCTGGTAAAGATTCATTGCTGTCTTTAAAACTCGATTGGGTTGAAATAATGAGGTTGATTGTTTTGCACTTTTGATGCTGGCTGCAATGTAAGTGTGTAAATAGTTACTAAGCTGTTTAGTTGGTTGGACACTAAACATTTTTTAATGGGGCATGATAATCCTTGTGATTTTTCTATTTGTATGCTATATGGTATCTCTTTGTGTCAACATTTGATTTGCCACTCTTCTACATCACTGGATCAATAATTTATAGCAAAGTATTTATGTATTCTGTTATTTGTTAGTGAGGTTTATGATTTACCACTCTTCTGTCTCACTGTATCAATATTTTATAGCAAAGTGTTTATGAATTTTGTTATTCCTTAATAAGACTTATGTATTCTGGTGGGCCAGTTTGTCGAAATTGAAACGTAGGTAAATTATACACTGTTTCATATATTATGTCACTCTGGTGGTTTGAATTTGTAGTTTTGAATTGTGATTTGTGCATATGTTGATTCTTTGGGTTCTTCCTTTAGTTGAAGTCTTGCTTTTCTTGGATTTATTGATTTTATTTTATTTTGTCCAGGTTTTGCTACTGAAACCCTGATCCACACCAAAGAAAACAGTATTATTCCTGAAATTCCTGCAACTGTATCAGCTGTTAAAAACCCTTCATCAAAGATTGTATATGATGAACACAACCACGAACGATTTCCTCCTGGTGACCCAAGCAAAAGGGCATTTGCCTACTTTGTCCTATCTGGTGGTAGATTTATCTATGCCTCTCTGGTTCGTCTCCTTGTCCTCAAGTTTGTGCTCAGCATGTCAGCAAGTAAGGATGTTCTTGCTCTGGCTTCACTTGAAGTTGATCTCTCTAGCATTGAGCCAGGCACCACTGTGACTGTTAAGTGGCGTGGAAAGCCAGTATTCATCAGGCGCAGAACAGAAGATGATATTAAGCTGGCAAACACCGTTGATGTTGGATCTCTTCGTGATCCCCAGCAGGATGCCGAAAGAGTCAAGGACCCAGAATGGCTCATTGTGATTGGGGTTTGCACACATTTGGGTTGCATTCCCTTGCCAAATGCTGGTGACTTTGGTGGATGGTTTTGCCCATGCCATGGTTCACATTATGATATTTCTGGCAGAATTAGGAAGGGACCAGCACCATACAATCTGGAGGTACCAACTTATACCTTCTTGGATGAGAACAAGTTGTTGATTGGTTGAAAACCTCCATCTGCTTCCTAGTGGAACGAGTCCACAATTTTTTTGATTTATTGGATAATGTCGAAACGTGCCATAGACATCTTTGGCCTTGGAATCCTTTTTTTTTTTTTTGTTTAGCAAGTGTTTATGTAACTCGGAAATTTGAGTATTACTGCTTGACGAGACTTGTATCAATAATCGCCTGACATTTTTGCATGTCGTATGAATGTTCAAAATCTGATGCCTCAGGCATATTGCATTGTATTTTGCATATCATGAATAACATTTGGAAAACTATTTAGCAAATAGGTTGGTTAATATGGCAGTTTGCTAATTGCTTTTATGCGTATAAGTACAACATTGTGTCTTGTGTAGTTAACTAAAATGGGTCTGAGGCGAATTTCAAAACTGCCAGCTGGCTCCTAGAGCATGGTGGTTCACAACATTTGATCAAGAGAACCGGGTGTGGCAAATTTTATACATCCACTTGATCATTCCTTTACATGATTTTGGATATTTTCTTGTATAGTGTTACTTTGTAAGATGCACACGTAGGATGCCACTTGTAGTTCTTCAACGCGATTCAGTGTTAGACGAATAGGTAAAGTGTATGATTGGTCACTCGATTAAAATTATGTTGAAATGGAAAAATACGTCGATAAGAAAAAAAAAGAGTAAAAGTTTGAAAGTGAAGTAGTTGTTTTAAGTTGATTCTAATCAACTGTTCTTTAAACACAGTGAATGTGGGACGGCCTTATGACAGGAGTAAACATACAGGACTAATGTAATTTATTTAAATAAGGTTTGGGTAAAATTTTTGGTAAAGGGACCATATCAAAGTGTGTCATACACGATGATTAAATCATAATTTTATCTTAAAAATATTAATTTAACTCTTAGATTCTTTATTTTGTTTTCTAAAATTTTATATTTTTAGTTATGCTCTTGTAAAATTTTATTGATTATTGATATAGTGTTATCCGTGTAGATTAAATTATATTAACTTGCCAAATTAACTAAGAATAATTTTAATATTACAATTTTTTTAGTATAATTCCTAAATACGGTAGAGATACAGGAAAAGAAGAGAAATAAATATAAAATAAATTAGTTATGTTATGAAGAAAAATATAAAAATTAATTATAGAAAGTGTATAAAAATTTGTTACAACTCGTTAACTTTTTTTTTTTTTTGAGAATACAACTCGTTAACTTAAAGACTATAAATTGTGCGTTACCAGAAAAAGACGTTACCAAAAGAAGACTATAAATTGTTTTAAGACAATAAAAACATTTTTTCTCGCTCAATTTTTTCTAACGTGTATACATACAAATTTATGCTTCTAACTCGTATCTGACTTTTTTTTTTTTTTTTTTTTT